AGAATGCTCATCTTCGAACTCGATCTGTCTTTTTATGACACAAAACGACCCTGAAAATCCCAGGTCGCTCGCGCACTTTTTTTTTCGAGTTTTCGTGCGGACAGATACACAGACACACAGACACACAGACAGACAGACAGACAGACAAAGTTTTTTCCGACCAGACGGAGTAATAGGCTTCGCTAATCGCTCAGCCAATAAACAGCCTGCCTCAACTACTAAATGTTTCTTTCTTAATTTAATATCTTAACTCCAGCATCAGGTACCTTTTTAGCACAATCTTGAAGAGCAAGGTTGAGACTGTGATTAAAACATTGCACATAAAGTGCAAGCGGCTCTAGCTCTTTCAGTCTTGCTTGCAGCCCTTTAACTCTTCCTCGCATGTTACTTCCAGCGTCATAGCACTGCCCACGACAGCTACTAATAGGCAATTGAAAACGAAGCAACGCATCCTCAACTATTTTAGTGAGAGCTTCACCAGTGGTCGATGAAACCTCGTACAGCCCAAGAAAATTCTCAGTAGCAACAAGATCCTCATCAACAGTACGCACTGACACTGAAAGTTGCTTCTTGACACTCTCATCAGAAGCCTCATCAATAATAAGAGAAAACGTTTGATTTTCTCTGATTGTTTCTAATTTGCTTCTCAAAATCTTGTGTGCCGCAATCTGCAACATTTCATTCTGGATATCATGTGATGTGAATTTTTTCTTTCGTTCGAGGAACTTTTTCAAGGGAGGAACATAGTCTGAGAGTAACTTCAGCAGAGCTTCGAAGTTGCCACCAGAAGACGAGTGTCCTCTCAATGCTAGGCCTTGGCGACCAAGAAACAAGATCGACTTAAATATTGCAGTAAGTGCTTTTCTCGCTTCCAGCTGCTGCTCCTTTGCTTCTTTTGAAAGGAGAGTGGTGACGGGAGTAGTGTTGGCAGCGCAGAAAACTCGCATTGCATCAGCATGGGTAGTGCTCTTGTAATGTTCAACTATTTTATCATATGCTCTTTTCCAGTTAGTCAGGCCTGTGTCTCCATGAACAAGCTTGGATTCATACTTCGATGCCAACGCTGTCTTCGTGAGAGAGAGCAAACTATTTGCTAGTGTTGCACGGTACGCAACGGGGCTGCCGCCCCTGCCCTGCTG